GCGGCGTAGTCGACACAGGAACGGACAAAGGACTTGTACATGGTGAGAAGTACAGGGATGGTGGCACCAAGGGAACCCCTGCACATGGTAGAGAGGGGAGCGAGACGCCGAAAGCATATGTCTCGAAGATAGCGGACTTCAGGGATCTGACAACGTGTGCGAGTTACATACACACCCAGGTATTTTGTCTCATTAACCCAGTCCAAGGGCGTTCCTGATAAGAGAAGGGGTGGAGGTACAACACGACCGTGCCACATGGCTTTTGTTTTCGCAGTTGAAAGAAGGAAACCAAGTGAATCACACTCTGGAGACCAGCTCAAGGGCTTCCTGCATGCTGAGGTAGTCAGGGGCTTGGAGGAGGACATCGTCGGCATATCCTGAGTGGACAACTTCTGTCGGCCACGGGAGAGATGCAATGGAGTGCATGAGAGTGTTAAACAAGGTGGGACTCAGGACTCCACCTTTAACCCCTAACCGCGCAAGTTTAGCTAAAATGAGGGCAGGCTGAGCCGTATCAAAGGCTCCCTTGATATCAAAGAAGACGGAGATGCGGGCAGTCTGATTGCAATAAAAGGAAGCAATGGAGTGTGCTGTGCTGCGATGTTGAATGAAACCATTGAGGGAGTTGTGGAAGCCGCCTATGGTGTGAAGAAGGCGACGATGGAGTATCCTCTCCATCATCTTGCAAACACAGGAGGTAAGACTAATGGGTCGATATTTCCCAGGATCTCCCGGCTTAGGGATGGGGATAACAGTGGCATTTTTCCAGTTGGACAGGAGAACCACATGTTCATAAGACATATTGTAGAGAGCAAGCAAGGGGCCGTTAGGAATATTAGTACAGGCGTTGAGGACGGAGTAGGTTATCTGATCATCCCCAGGAGAGGTGTCTTTTCTAGAGCGACGAGCACTGTCAAGCTCGAACTGTGTGATGGGATGATCAGTGGGGGCAGGGGAGGTAAGAGCAGCACGAACAACAGGCTCAGACGCATCAATGCGAGCCTGCACTGCCTCCTGCATTGGATCTGGAAGTGCCTCAGGGGAGGAAGCTCGTGCCCAGTCCTCCATTAAAGAGCAGGCAAGGGAGGCGGGGTCAGGGTGGGGAAGAGGCCTCCGTCGAGTACCGCGTATAGCATTAATCCGATTCCATACATAAGAGGGTGACGACTGGAACGATAGAGACCCCGTGAAGGATAGCCAGTCCGCCTCACGTATCCGACGGCGCTCCTGAGTTGCAAAGGAGCACCAATTTTTGAAGTTTTTCCAGTCCTCCGGAGACCGAGACCTCCGTATGGCAGAGTGGAGATCACGGGTTACCTGCCGGAGATGTCTCATGGCAGGGATACGATACCAGTAGTTGGTGGCACTTCTGGGGTGACGGGGAGGGCGTGGAGGGGTAGCGCGATGACAGTCATACACGGCATCAACAAAATCAGCGCTGTAAGAGTCAAGGGATTGGGGGACAACATAGGAATCCGCCCAGGTAGAAAGGTATTGGGTAAAGGAAGGAACAGCATCTTGTGTGAGACGAAGGCGAGGGGATCGATAAGGAGCTGATGTCGGGGCAGAGAAGGAGAGCCTGAGATGGGTAGTAACGGCAAGATGGTCACTATACAGAGCAGGCTCGGTGCAGACGGTAGGATGAAAGGAGGTATGACCGTTCAATAGTAAGCCAACATCAAGGAAACTATGGGGGAGGCGAGTAGGATCGTCAGGACAAAGAAAGCGAACATCATCATCCCCATTAAGAAACTGTGAGAGATGTGATCCGTTAAGGGTACATGGCGTGGGATGATCCGGAGTAAGAGTGGGATGGCGGGCATTAAAGTCGCCAAGAACAATAGTGGGAATCCCATCATGGAGGTCGTGAAGAACCTGGGGGTCCAGAGAATCACTCTTGAAATGAACATTGACTACACGAAGGGTCCGGTCACCAAGAGTAAGGGAGACAGAAAGTAATTCAGACTGGGGTCCATGTGAGTCAGGTGAAGGGAGACGAACAGATGGAATGGTGTTACGCACAAGGGTGAGGAGGCCACGAGCCTGCCCGCGGTACCGAGGCAGGGTGTAAACAGTATAGCCAGAGAGGCGGAGTGGAGTAACATCGTCTGTGATGGTTTCCTGAAGTAGAGCAACATCTACTTGATGGGAGAGCACAAACTGGGCGAAGTCTGTCCCGCGAGGTCTAAGTCCCTGGATGTTCCATTGTAAGAAGAGGAGGGAACGGCCTCCGGTGTGAGATGAGTCGGAGGGGCTAGACAGGGCTCCAGAGGAGGTACCAAATTCTGTTGAGAAAAATGGAGAGGGAGGAGTGGGATAGCGAGGGATGGATCCTCCATCTCGGGAGATGGAAGGAGGCGGGTCATCAGGGCTTGCAAAGTGCGCCCCTGTTGGGTCAGGGTGTCCAGAATGAGTTGTTGTTGCCTGTGCAATGTCGCAATTGTTTTCACAAACAAGTCGAGTTGGGCAGAGAGAAGGTTGATTTGCTTGGAGTGGCGATCCAGACGGAGAGTAATTGTTTCCATAGAACCAACTTGGTGTACCTGTACAGGAGCTGGAGGTGGCGGCGAGGATTGCCGAGGGCCCGACTGGGCATGTGGTGGTGGTAGCGACGGAGAGGGACGGTGAGGGTTCAGTTGAGTAAGAGGTGGTGGTGCTGGTGAGAGACAGCGGGGGTCCGGGTGGGCAGGAGATGGTGGTGACTGTGTGGCAGGGCCGGCAACGACCTTGTTCCAAGAACGGTAGGGAGAGGGAGGGAGGGGAGAAAGGATGGGTGGTAGGGGTGATAGGAGGGGGTGGTAGAGGAGAGGAGATCAATGGGAAATCCTTGGTGGATGGAAGAGGCGGTGGTGGATGGGAGTGAGGTTTGGTTGACAGGGGCTTCGTCAGAGACGAGGGCGGTGGTACAAGGTAAGTTTTCCCCGGGCGAGTGCCAGGACGCTGTGGGCAATTGGCATTCCAGGCGTGGTGACTGCCATGGCAATTGACACACCATGGAATAACTGGGATTTTGTTCTGAATTTTCGATTTGCATTCCACCTGCGCAGAAACCGCAGGCGACCATCCTCGTGCACTCCCAGGTGCGGTGTTTCCACGATTGGCAACGACCACAGATTTTCGGGGTTCCGATAAATCGGTCGAGAGGACAGTTGTGAATTGGTCCTACATTCACCTTCGAAGGGAGGGGGCCCACCCACCAGCCGATGAGTTCGTTGGATGGACGTTTGGAGACCGGGTTGATGCGGCGTTCCATGTCCAGTAGTTGTGGGAGAAGAGGGCGAAGATCGTCGATAGGGATCTCCCAGGGTACGTGGCGAACCATTACCTTGGTACGACGAGTTTCTGGGGTGATGATGGTGAACTTCAGCATCACCTCCCCCTGGGGAGCAGGAAAGCCCACCTGAGTGAGCAGGCGTACCGTCTCGTCCATTTGTGTGGTGACTATCACGGCTGTGGGACCTCGGCGGAGGCGAAGTGTTGAGTCCTGAAGTGGAGAGCAGTGACGGAAGAACCAGGTCGTCCGTGTGCTCAGAGGCAAGTCCCGAGGAAAGGCGAGACGACGAAGGCGCGACGGGGCAGGGAGACAAAGGGAATCCCCTATGTCCATCGTCGGCAGAGGGTCGGTCATTGAGCCACATGTAAGCTCACTTGGGGACCCCGATGACAGGAGGAGTCCACCACCCTCTACAGCCCCAGAAGGGGTGCAAGGGGGAGCCGTGGCCCCTGCTGGAGACCCTGACTTCTGAGATTTCTGCTTCTTCTTTGACTTATCTTCAAGAAGAAAATCGTCAGCATCACTGTCACCTACTGCCACCGTTTCCAACGAACGGGAGAGTTTAACGGCGGGCATAGGGCACGTTGGCAACACTGCAGTCAGGTGGAGTGGTAATGACGACACTGCTACGTCACACTCTCACATTGCGCATGCGCAAACTTGAAAAACTTTGCTCAGAGGGATCGGGTGGTAGGACCAGATGTTTTATCACCCAAAAATGACAGTCCAAAAGTAAAAAAAAAATATATGCCTCTGTGCTGATAACTGGGTCTTACTATAGTTGTCTGCACAGGCTGGGATTGGTAGACTCGCTGAATTCGTCAGAAATACGAATTTTAAGGAGCAGTCTCTTACAGCCTTTGTTGACACTACGCACGCATGCGCGTTCTCTCTGACGGTCCTCTGAAACCAAAGGTACCGAGGCTAATACTTTTTCTTTGTTAGTGGCCTTTAACCTCCCTTTATACCCATATCTTCTCCACACATTTTATTACTTAACTATACGAATATATATATATATATATATATATATATATATATATATATATATATATATATATATATATATATATATATATATATATATATATATATATATATATATATATATATATATATATATATATGCAGCTTTGTCTCCTACTGTTGTTGGTTTAGGGGCCGATGATCTTGTTCCCCTGAGGCAAAGCAATACAGACCTGAATAATGTGAAGCAGAGGCGACATCTCAGCCAGGCTGCACTGTAGCTTCTGGGCTGCTGCTTCTGTTCAGATAACTCCTCGGTTAGTCTGGCTTAGAATCATCCTGCAATTGGTCCCATGCCACCAAATGTTGCGAACACCAGAGGAGTGAAGCTACCTTATCACTCTCGTTCTTCCTGTGTGCAGCTTCGAAAGACAGGTTACTGTGACAGGCGGCCATGGGATCGATTATCCTGATATCAAAGAATGCTCCTTGTCCCCGTATCCAGAATCATCAAGCATTGACGTCCACACGGGCTTCATTGGATGTGTTGGAAGTCCTGTGATGAAGATTCTCACCGTCCAGTGGAAGGAGGGTCTGTTTTACCGTGACGTCGTAGCAAAATTCCTTCAGCATATTCGTTGTGAGATCCTTACTTCGTCATGCCTCATACATACGAAACCACACCTCTTGCACGTGATTGATGTCGTAGGATGAGCCACAGACGCATTGGGTGGGCATACCATCTACTGGCTAACCATACCTTAGAGTAATGACGTCTGTAAATTCTTGTTTGTTAAAGCTGAAGCCCTTTGCTCTTATCGGCAACGTTGTTAGCCAGTTTAAGGCGCCCACCTCCTGCGCTACAGCTACTTTGTTGTTGACCTCACTTCCATTGAACACCTGTATTGCCTGTTGATGGTGTTCTGGCTTCACAATGAGGAGGCACTTGCTGACATTTGGGTAGTACCCTATTTGTGGACCGCATGATGCTACTAGGTCCCAACACTTTTTGATGTCCTCCACTTTTCCTGATCGTGTAACCACATCAACGCATGCTACTTGCTTGAAATTAATTAGTTCATAGTTTATTGTGCGTTGTAGCACGGATAGGCCTAGTGCGTACAGTACCATGGCGACAGGTCCCCTGCGTTGTTCCCTCAGTTGACTTTATGATGATATCACCTCTTTGGACACTACTACTACTACTACTACTACTGCTATGTTTATTCAAAGAATTGGGTAAATACTGTATATTAATGTATGACTGTTACAGTAAAATAGACTTTCATGATATAATAATGAATTACCACGTCAAAAATAATATAAACCCTTAGATAAACAATAAATATGCTAGAGATATTGAAAGATAAACAATTCTCGTAACAGAAAACAGAAGAATCACATTTACTCATTTCCGTACTTTCTGATATATATATATATATATATATATATATATATATATATATATATATATATATATATATATATATATATATATATATATATATATATATATATATATATATATATATATATATATATATATATATATATATATATATATATATATATATATAAAGGAGAAAGAGAGAAAAGTGAGAGAGAGAGACACCTAGATTCTGCCAATAATCGTGAGGGACGATTTTCAGAGACATTCATTAATAACTCAATTCTCAGCGTGGTAGAAGTCTCACGTAGAGATAATTCATATGAAATAAGACACCTGAGCTAAGCTACCGCAATATTCTTTTTATAGGGGAAAGACCTGGAGGAATCTGAAGGTTGAGAAGCAGTGCGACTCACTGAAGGTTTCATAAGAGTTGATGCGTCCGATTCTAAAGGCCACCAGATTAAGAATATGAAAAGTTTTTTTTTTTCTTGTTGGGATTGATGACATTAGAAGGAAGAGACTTTGTAAAGTAGCACTTGTGGAATACTCTGTACACAATTAGAACCAATGATTGGCTAAGAACAAATCAAAGTTTACCGACGAAGATGTCGTGTGTGATGATTTGTTCTATTATAGCCTTGAGTTAGAGCTCGCACAATATAGTCCTGAAATATTTATTGGGAGGCAGACAAATATTTCCTTACATGATACAAATGGGACTAGGCAGAAAGGAATGGGAAAGTGACTCACCGAGGGAGTTATCGTAAGCATTGATGTGCTCTGAAGTCATGAACTGGTGCACCAGGGCCGTTTTGCCCACACCCGGTGCACCCAGCATCACCACCCGGTACGGCGTCACCATTTCCGAGGCCGACGACGCCTGGGACGACGCCGCCGACGATGCTGCCGACGTGGCCAGCGAGCAGGGATGTGACCAGGCGCATCCATCAGTGCTGATGGGAAGAAAAGAGATGGGGGAATTTAGTGGGGTTCTGTGATGTAGGAAGCAAAGAGGATTGTATTTCTTGGAAACGAGGTTAGATAACTAGAGGGGGGAGGATAGAGGCAGGTTAATGGTGTGTTTATCGAGTGTCAGGGAAGTAGGATGGGGAAACATGAGTAAGTGAGGAGGGTGAGAAGTTAATCAGGAGGATAAATGGAAGATATGGAGTCTGAAAATAAAGGTGAGTGACACTTGAGGAGAGAGAGAGAGAGAGAGAGACATGTTCTTACCACTAGCGGAAGATTTACAGGTATCCATTAGAGAGTGGAGGACTGACTAATCCTTGGACCTGTTTGGTGCAATACTAACGTAAGATTAGCACGACACCTAGGACTTTGGACTTAAAAATCTTAATGGCGTTTTAAAGATATATTTAGGGGAACAACGACCTAATGCACGATTACTACAAAAACCTTGATTACATGTGAATACAGTTATCATGTGTCATATGACTCAACAGTGTTCTACGTGTCATGGCAACAGTGTGGAAGGTAGCATATAATTTAACAGTGCGCCACGTGTGATACATTACTTAACTGTAAACAGATGTCATATGACTCAACATTGAGCGAGGTGTCACAACAGTCAATAGTGTACCAGGTGTCATATAACTCAACAGTGACACAACAATGCAGAAATGAACCGACAGTCATTATATCTAAAGGACCATCTTTTTCTGACATTTGATACAGCTGTGACGTAATGCAGACCAGACATACTAAGAACTTATGATATTGTGTTAACTGCCAATTAGCGAATCAGTATCACCGAGTATCAGGAATGACACGAAATAATCCAGAATACGTGACATAATTGGCCCCAAGTAACATATGACACACTATATCGCAGCGACTTGACAGGACATTTATTCTAGGATACCTAACAGAAATGAGTAGTAGGAGTGCTTGACAGGAGAGGAGGTATAGTATACATGCCAGGCACTGTCAAGGCCACCACGGATATTAGCAGTTTTGGTTCGTCCTCCAGCGATGATGATCATTAAACAGAGTTTTATTGCAAATTGCTTTATGATGGAGGTTCTGTTTCGTTAATAGGAGCTCACAACTAATACTAATGGGGCTGTGTGGGATTAGGAAAGGGTATTTTGGTTGAGCTTGGGTTGGGGATTGTGGGGAAATTTAGGGGTTGGGGAGATGGATTATTGGGTTAAACTGTGGAGGTGGGGAGAGGATTAGGGGGGGATTAGGAGATTGTGACATTGGGTAGGGAGCAATGTGGTGATTAGGGTTGAGGAAGACGTGTGGGAATAAGTATAATGAAGAGGGGATGGAAGTTAAGCTGGGTTGAAGAAGGAGAACTGAGGAATGTGGAAAGGGAAATAGAGAGGTTGTGGGGAGGGGAAAGAGATTGTGGTAAAGGTAGTGGAGGAGTGGGAGAGAGGGAATGAATGAAAAAGGATGCATACATACACACACACACACACTACTTCTACTACTACTTTGGTGTCACTAACAATCGAGTATGAAGTTCATCCAGCTATGATAATATGAGTTATTAGGGATGTCACCTAGGTTGGTGAATTTTGAGGTTACTAAAGAGGCCGATACAGGACCAACAAGGTGGTCCACATTCGTTGCACATGTGGACGGTTGCATCTAGTGCGGAAGGGGTGGTGGCAGCGTCTTTCCGGCGTTGGCGCTTGTCTGCCTCGGATTGCAGTCGGGCGAACTCGAAAGTATTGACACCTCGTTTTTGTTTTTGTTTTTTTTAGGTTAAGGTGGGGAAAGGATGGAAGGCATGCTGGGGCTCAAGGCACAGCCAGACATGAGGGATAGAGAAGTCACAACATATAGTCGTGGGGGAAAGGTTGGAAAAGAAGTTTAATGAGTTAAACAGAGGGGGACGACACCCCTTGTTTTACATATTACAGAGTTTGTTGGCTAACTAAGCTAACCTAGGATTTAGAATGAGGTTGCACAATGTTTATTTTAGTAGTCAATGACTAGATTGATTTTACAATTACAAGTTTATTAACATCTTATACTGTATTACGTTATGGACTCACTTGATTGTGACTTGTTAAATGTGAATTTATATCACCTAAGTTTTAATCTAAGGTGGATCACTGTGACGAACATAGATGGGTCGCGGGCTGGGTTGTTGTAGTGCGGGCAGACTCCGGGGCCACCAGGCGTGGGGTCTCCCTCCGTTGATGTCTTCCCCGCGTAGGTGGTCTGGGCTGTGAGGGTCGTCCAGGAGCTTGTCCCAAACCTTCTTCCCTAGGCGATAGAACCTGAAGTTGAGGGCTTCTGTTTTATTTCTTAGGTGGATGGTTTCCACTGTCTCCTGGTAGGGTGGCGCTTGGCCACTGGCTGACCTCAAACACTTGTTTTGGAAGCTCTGTAGTTGTTGTAGTCTGGTCTTCCCGAGTGTGACGAGTGGTATAGATGGGTACTCCAACACAGGCCTCACCAGCGCCTTGTACAGGTGAACTTGTATCTTCTCAGGCATCAATTTAAAACGTTTTAATTTGGCTGCGGCGACTTTGGCTTTATTTAGTCTGTCCTTCACGTGGGGAATGATGCCCGTCCGAGAAATGATGAGGCCGAGCAACCTGCCTTGTTTAGAGTACTCAATCTCTTCGTCGTCGATCATCAATGGGGCCGGCTTGAATTTGGCTATGGGTATGACCTCAAATTTCGTTTTGTTTGTTTTTATTTTCCATTTATTTTCATACTCCGAGATCTCCTCTATTGCCCGAGCAGTGAGTCGCGCCATCCTTGCTGTGGACCTTCCTGGGCAGGTGACGATCTGTGTTACATCGTCGGCAAACATGACGTACTCGCTGCCGACGATTGGGGGTGGCAGGTCAGCCGTGTAGAGTGTGTAAAGGGTTGGTGAGAGACAAGAGCCCTGAGGCACGCCGCTCGATAGTGAGAATTCTTCTCCAGAATGTTCTTGCATCTTGATTTTGGCTGTGGTGCTCCCTCAAGCGTTACGGTGTGAAGTGATCGACTCCCAGGTGAAGGGGTCGATTTGGCACTTTCTCAGGTTTGTCTTAAGACTATCCTCATACCTTTTCAATTCCTCGCCGGCGTTACGTTTAATATTCGTTAGGTGATTGTAAAGCAGCTGCTTTGGCAGTCTACTGTCGTCCTTGCGGGTAACATGGCCAGTCCAGCGTAGTTGTTCACGGATATTGGTAGCCCCGATGCTCTTACAGTTGGTATCAGCAATAATACTGGCATTTGTTCTCTTGTCTTCCCAGCAAACTCGGAAGATGGAACGTAGACTACGTTGGTGAAAGTTTCCAAGTGCCTTGAGGTGCTTCCTGTATGTGACCCATGTCTCACTGCCATATAGCAGGGTGGGGAGGACCACTTCTCCATATACATGCACATTTGTAGATAATTTCAGCTCCCTACAGCTGAAGACACGGTTTCGGAGTCCACCAAAGGCTTGAGACGCACATCTGATCCGGTGCTGAATCTCTTCATCGATGTCTGCGGTGGTGGACAGGTGGGAGCCGAGATACCGAGAGTGGGTACAATAGAGAGGATAGTACCGTTAAGCTGGATGGATGGTGGAGGTGTGGCTGAGCCAGGGGACAGGTTGAAAGAGAATCTAAGTCTTACGTACATTCACCTCAAGGCCAAAGTGCGCATGCGCATCTGCGTAGATGTTTAGGATCTCCTATAGGTCGTGTTCAGTGTGAGCAACAAGGGTGAGGTCGTGCGCATATTGAAGTTCAGTAAGGGAAGCTGCCGACACCTTTGTTTTTGCCTTGACTCGTCTTATGTTGAAAAGACTCCCCTTCACCCGGTACTCGATGTCCACCCAGTCGGCTAAATTGGCACTGGCACGAGTAAGGAAGGCAACCAAGAAAATGAAAAAGAGAGCTGGTGCCAGCACACATCCTTCTTTAACCCCTGTTTGGATGGGAAAGAACTCAGACTGGGTGCCGTTGTGCAGGACTGAGGGTCCAACAGAGCGCTTCCCTGTTGACCGAGTCGAAGGCCTTGGTTAGGTCGATGAAAGGCAAGTACAGGTCACGACGCTGTACTCTGGAATTTTCCTGTATCTGGCGGTCAGTAAAGATCATGTAAGTGGTGCCACATGATGGTCTAAAACCACATTTAGATTCTGGGAGGAAGTTTTTCGCCTCAGGGAGGAGTCTATTTAGGAGGACTCGGGCGATAATCTTGCCAGCTACGGAGAGCAGCGAGATCCCGCGGTAATTGCCACAGTCTGACCGGTCTCACTTGTTCTTATAACTATTAACAATGGGTCCATCATTAAGAGTTTGGGGGATTTCCTCCTTTTCCCATATATTCTCTAGTAGAGAGTGGAGACGGCTGATAAGCAGAGGTCCCCCTGCCTTATCCACCTCGGCTGGGATTCCATCAAGCCCTGAGGTTTTGTTATTTTTCATCGGTTTGATGGCAGTAACTACCTCATCCAGGGATGGAGGATAGCTGAGGTGGGTCAGCTCTGGATGCTGAGGGACCTGCTGGGTAGTCAGCACATCCACATCGGTGTTTCGTTTGAGCAATGAATGGTAGTGCTCTTTCCAGGGCTCAAGGAGGCCTTCATTGTCTTTAATTATGAAGTTACCATCAGATGAGCGGAGGGAGGGCTGCGCCACGAGTGGTTTGCTCATAAAAAGTTTTAATGGAATTGAAAAAATCGCGCATCTTGTGCTGATCTGCATGTTTTAGTATTTCAAATGCTTTATTTTTAAGCCAGTTATTCTTTAGAATGCGAAGTTCTCGCTGAGCTGCCGCTTTCTTCTTGCAGATGGTATCAACTTTGGTCCGAGACTGAGGGTTTTTCTGCCAGTCAGTAAAAGATGCACATTCATCATCGATGAATACTATGATTGCCGTGTCATTTTCATCAAACCAGTCCTGGTGTATTCTTTTGCAGGTTTTAGTCAAAACAGTGTTGAAAGTATTCCATTCGGTACTGGGATTCGCGTTGTTTGCTGTT